GTCACTAGTTCTGTCTCCCGGGGTGGGTGCCCGCAGGGATCTCGGCGACGGTGGAGTCTCACTCACTGTTGCACGAATTCATCCGCTGCATCCAGGGGTAGACGGGCGTGGAGCACTTCTGCTCTTCAGGCTCGCCGAACACGCTCTTGTCCTGCGCACAGTCGGACTTCCGCGGCTCGGGGTGGAAGGGGGGCGGCTCGTCCGCCCCGGAGAGCGCGCAGGCCGACTCCTTCTCGCGGTAGAAGGCCGGTGCCGGGCCATAGTCGCAGGGCGCCGCTCGGCCGTAGCCGCCGCCCGCCGGCGGGTAATAAGAAGAGGCAGCAAAGCCCTTGTCCTGGCCGGGCCCGGGCCCATAGGGCGCGGGGTAGTGCCTCAGCGGGTCCGCATAGCCGGAGGAGTAGAGCGGGAGCTGGCCCAGGAAGGACTCCTGCCCGCTGGCCAGAGTGACGGGGAAGGTGGAGTTCACGAAATAGGAACTCATTGGGAGGGAGGCGCGCACGGCCGCTGCTGCTCCGCCGGGTTTATGATTTGTTGTGTTTTATAGTCCGAGCGCCGCGCCTATTAGTAGTATATCTGAGATTGGGTTTTAGCTGAGGGGGGATGGCGAGGTGCCAGTGAGGGCCAGAAGGAAATACAACCATCTGATCCAACACTGACCAATGGCAGAGGCAGGAATTGTCAAATAGCACCCAGGAGGAGCGCAGCCCGCACGAGGGACCCGCGCACAAACCTATCAACCTTTTTTTCCCTCCTTCGCTCCTTCTCCTTTCTCTCTCTCTCTCTCCCCCTCAACAACACTGCGCGTTCTGTTCCACCTACGTAGGATCTGCAAAAAAGGCGTCTGTGCCTTGGAGGGAGGAGGGAGCTTTGGATTGAGACCACCCCATCCCCCGGCGATTAAATAAATATATCCCCTCCCTCCCCACGCAGGATAGGAAAAAGTTAATTGTGTTTTCAGAAAAGTTAACCCCTGCGTTGCTTGAGACCCATTCCCTCAAGGGAAGGGTGGGTAACCATCCCGGAATCTCGAATCTAGCTAGGAAAGAACCAAAGGAGGTGTATTTCTAGGGTTTTGTGTTGGTCGATGGGGAGAAGAGCTCTATGCTAACTAGCATCGTTTTTTCAGAAAGAGGGAGGCGAAGAAGAAACCATCTCTCCTTTTCCCAGGTTTTGAAAACCTTCCCCCCCCTCCCCACCCCTCATTTCCCAGATCCACTCAGTCTCTCCCAAGCCTGGAGTTATTATTTCTGCTTCTCCACAACTCTCATGGTCTGAGACGCAGGCCAGAGCCTGCTGCCCCGAAGGCCGGTAAATGAGAGGAGGGTCTGAGCCCAAGCTTCTCCCTCTGGCTCTGCAGCTAGGCTAGGAGACTCTTGGACCGCTATGGCTGTTGCTGCCCAAGACAATCTTGCCTGGTTCTGGTACGCACCGCTTGCTCTTAGCACAGGAAGGGGCACTGGGGAAGGGAACTAGCCCTCTCCACTTGGGGATAAAAACTGGAGGCGTGAGGGCCATCCCTCAGCCTAGGTTTGCCTGATCCCTACCCTGCCTGCATCCCTCACCCCTACAAAGACACAGGAGCATCCTGGGCTAGAGATTCTTAGGAATCAAGGCTGTCTCATAAAGTGGGTATAGGAAAGAAATTGGACCTTTTCTAATTTGGGGGTCCTCAAACCCTCCTGATATTTGAGGCAATCAGAGACCACCAGGAAGAAAAGGGATCCTCACACCTTTTCCAAGACTCTCCAGAAGCTGGCATTTCTTTTTAAAATTAATTATTTCCCAAGACTTAATTTTGGTTTAGTTTTATAAGAAGGGAGGAGTGTTTGGGTCCTCTCAGGGACTCAGCAGGCAGCTTACAACGCTCAGCCCACATCCCCTCTCCAGATGCTCACCACCCTCTGTCTCTCTCAGCGTCTCCACCATCCCTCCCACCCCCATCTCATTTTTGTATCACCAGCTTTGCTGCCGTACAAGCTTGAGTGTGTGAGAGAATGTATGTCTCTGGCTCTCTCATCTAAAGAAAATGAACATTGAAGCCAGGCTGGAAGACTTGAGCCACAATGTATTTTTAACATTCTAATATGCACGTGGATGCCAAGCAGTAAAGGGGGACCGCCTTTAAACCTGGGGCTTGGAACTCCAGGGCCAGGGTGTGGGACAAAATCTGATGAAGGGGCCAGGCTGACCCTCCTCTCTACCTTGCTCTTGGGGTTCCTTTTTGTGGGCCAGCTCTGTCTACTCAAGATGGTACAAGACACTAGGGAAAGTGGTAGAGTACTGAGGTCGGTGACTAAGGGTGGGGACTTGGTTGGTTGCAAAGTGGTCTACAAGGCTTCCCGAACTCAGGACAACTTCTAGGTTGCACCTTCATGGCCAAGTGGTGATCCCTTCCTAGCCTGACTCTACAGTCGTTTTATCAAGATTTAATAAAAATAAACTCAAGCCTTCTAACGATGGAGAATCATAAATGCTCCAATCTAGCTGTGATTGGGCCCGTTCCTACAGAGACATGGGGAACATTTGGGCAAGGTGAGCAAGATGGGGGAGTGTCTATATGCACCTCCCTACTCCCTGCCAATGAAGCTGGGCCTTGGGTTTCAGCCCTCCCTGTCCCCTCGCTGGCCACAATGCCCCCATCCTGGGACTGGACAGTGTGAGCTTGCCTGTGGAGTCTGGATAAAGTAAGAATCCCCTTTTATAGAAGCAGGAAAATAATCGCCTTATCCTTAGAGTCACAGCCCCAAATTAACCTCACCTCTGCAGGTTGCCTGTCTGAGATGGAGCCGCAAAGGCAGAGCCTGGGCGCCTGTAGTCCAGCATGAAAGGAAATAGCGCCTCATCGCTCTTATCTAAGCCCAGAGGTATTTATGAGCGTTTATTCCTCTGATCCGTTTGTTTGGGAGAAAGAGCAGGCAGGCAGAGCTGGGCCAGAGGCCGCCTGGTTTCTGGAGCCAGATCTCTACGAATCTGTCTGTGGTTCGGTCCACTGTCCCATCTGTCTGTCTCCAAGGGGGAATATGTAAATACACAGCAGGCACAGCCGTCTGCCCCTCTGGGGTGTCTCTCCCTGCCTCAATGAGGAAGCATGTGTATGGAGAGGTGGATATAAATGTGTACCAAGTCTTGAGTACACAACAGAAGGATTGTACAGAAACCCCACAGGCAGGATTTATCATTGTAGTTTTCTGTGCTGTGAATCTGCAGCCCTGTGGACGCACACACATTCCAGCTCCCAGGGAAATGTGTCAGTTGTGTTCAGCTCAGGAGGAAAATTCTCCTGTACAAGCAACCTCAGGAAGGGGTATTTGCCTGTATGTGTGTGGAGGGGAGGGGGGATCGAGACATTGTCCAGGCTTCCCCTTTCCTCTCAGCTACAAAGCTCCCCCCAGCTCTTTGGCTTGTGGGTACCTTCCCCCATCCCACTTCCAACTCTGGCCGGGGTGTAGCAAATTAAAACATGTTTACCCAATTCCCTGATTCTCTGGGTTTGGGAAACATAAATGTTCCCAGAGGGAGCAATGTGGCAGCTCCCAACCTTTGGGAGCTGTTTAGATGGGACAGGGCCTCAAAATGGGCCGGTCCAGAGCTCGGTACAAAGGCCTCATTTTCATTATGCAAATGAACGAGCGTGTCTCAGATCTGGGGGTGGGGAGGGCTTCGGTGCTCCGCTCGCCATCCAGTTCCCTCCTCCCAGGTCCACCAGCGCCCGAAGAGCCCTGAGGTGTTTCAACCCGCTGTACTAGCGCCTTCCTCTCCCTACCTGTCCTTTGGATTGCCCACAAGAAAAATCCCCGAGGGGCCCAATACTTCCCAGGCGCGCTCCCCCGGGGCCTCCCGCACCGGGCCGGGCCTTCTAGCCATAGGAAAATCACTCTCGCTGCAGAAAAGCTGAAAGGGCTGCCCCTGCGGCCCAGACTCCTGAGCCGCCGAAGGCGCGGGGACCGTAGCCCTGGCTTTTGCCCTCAGCACCGCCGGGCCCCTAAGCCTCGGCAGCTCCTCCGGCTCCAGGCCAGACCCTAGTAACACCTCGGCCTGCCTGGCACCACAGGCAATTTCCTGGAGCCCCCGCCCAGGAACCGGGGCCACAGCACCTTGAAAGGAATGGCCAGAGCTTCCTCCTGAGGCTTGAAAGCCCGAGCTAATCAGTAACCCATGAGACAGGGGCCAATATTCAAAGGAGGCAGCAGAGGCGCGGACCCCCGCCCTCGCCACCCTTTCTGGGAAAGCGGTCGGGTTAAGCGGGTGTGAGGGGTTCGGCAGGAACGAAAATTACAATGGTTTGGTTCCTCAATGATTGATCTTTACTCCCACTCCCAATTTTTCCCCCAAAGCATCTTTGTCAATTTCGCTTGAAACGATCGAGAATGAGGAAGGGGGCCCACACTCACTTGCAGACACCAACAGTTTCCAGAAAATTAGGCTCAATTCCTTTATCACGGATTCACCAGCCAAGGAACTGGCAAGACCCACCAGCCAACCGGGGGAACACAGACCCGGTTGTCTTTTGACAACCGAGTGGAACTGCCGGCCGGCCGGCGCCTCCTCTGCTGGCCCCTCCCTTGGCCGAAAAGAAAACCAAATAAACCTTGAACAGCCTTGGCCTCCGATCTCCCGAGAGGCCCGTAAGATCCTCTCTAGCGCCTGCGGTGTGTGGGTGACGGGGCTCGCCCATTCAGGGCCCCCTGCCCGCGGAAGGCAGTATTAGTCCTCTGAATATGCCCTAGAAAAAGCCGCTTGTCCAGCCAGCCACCAGGTTTGGAGCCAGGATGGTGCGGGCGAGGGGGAAGAGGACACTGTTCTCTAATCCACACACGGGCGGGCAGGAGCCGTGATCCAGCGGAAAGCGACAATCTGGGCTCGAAGTCCCCCGAATCCCGCCAAACCTGAACGACCAGGCTCCAGGCGTCGGGCACGATTCAGGCAGTGTCGCGGCGCTTGCGGCGCCGAAGCCGCATGTCTCCGAACGGACGGTAGATGGCAGCAAACCGCATAATTTGGGTCCCAGCAAACTGTCTAAGGGATGATTTATACCCCGCCGAGACTACAGGAGAAAAAGACCTTTAGTCTGGGTGGGTTTGGGGAATTTTCCCTTTGAGAATAGGCTCCAAGTGCCGTGGGTGCTGGCCGGGAACTTCTCTGGCTACGCGCAGCCAGGGGTCCCTCCAGGCACCCAATCCCCACCGGCTGGGAGGGCATCTACCTGGGCCTCCAGGGACCCCTCCCGCGCCACAAGTGGCTGAGTCCCTCTCTTCCCAGCTCAGCATTGAGAGGGCCAGTATCTCCTAACACAGCAATTCTTAGTCCCCGCAATTCCTGGGCAACCAGAGGCCTAAGGCTAAATGCTCAGCGTCTGGTCTTCAAGAAGAGAAAAGCAATCACCTAATCGTGCAAACCAAACTAAATCAATCTCTCCTACCCTCCGCGCCCAAAGTCGCTTATCTCTTGGCTAGTAGCTTCCTCAGAAGCCCTCTCACTCTA